CTCCTCCATCACCACACACCCTTGCAGCTCCACCTTCTTCCTCTTCTTCACGTACGCAGCACCACCGAAGCCGCCACCTTGCTTCTTTCTCCACTTCGCACACACGCACCACCGACGGCAGCCACCTTCCTCCTCTCCCACCAGCACCTTGCTCCCTTGCTGCACACACCATCGCCATCCCCGCTGCTACACCTTTCCACCTTCCTGCGCGTCACCAAAACCCACCAAAGCAGCTCATCATCATCTTCCTTGCCTTCGCACACGCAGCAGCAGCATCATTGATCACCGGCGAAGCGAGCAGCAACCGTCGGGGAGTTTTCCGGTTTTTTTGGCTTCATTCGGTTTTTGGAGTTTAATTATTTAATTTATTTATTTTTATTATGTCTCTAAATATTACTGAATTATTTTTAATAATTTAGTGGCTAAATTCTTTTAATCTAGGGCTTGGGTGTAGCCACCGAATTTATTTGATTTATTTAGTCCATTATTATTTGATTTTTCCATTAATTAATATTTGTTATTCTTGTTTTAATTCGTGTAAGTAATTGGCCACTATTTGCATGTCTGAAGATATTAATCGAAGTAGCGAGAGTGGAAGATTAATATTAGTTCGTAGGAATAATAAACTTAGGTTATAAGCTACGAGAGTAAGATTATAACCTTTGTAATATTTGATTCTTAATGGTCTTAATGTGCTTTTGTCAATCCCTATAGTCACGAGAGTAGTCATAAGGTTAATCTAAGTAAGAGAATTATAACACGAGAGTGAATAGTTCTTAATTAGGTGAATCGTTGTGAGATTAATGGAAGTTAGAAGTCAGATACTTATGAATTGAACTAAACCAAATATTCGGTAGGTGAACCCAATGTCCTAGGTTTCCTTTGTCTAATTATTTGAATTAATATTATTTGTTTTTATTTTATTTAGTTTAGTTTTAAATTTTATAACTCTCAGATCATCATTTATCTAGATAATAATAGGAGTAATTTATACCTGGTAATTAGTATTCCTTCTCTGTGGGATCGACCCTGCTTTCTGCTTTACTACTAGTAATTGTATTAAGTAGGTAATTAATATTTGACTAGTGTGATGACGGCTTATCAAATTTGGCGTCGTTGCTGGGGAAGGCAGCTAACATCGAATTTAGATTACTTTCTTTTATTAGTTTAGATTTGTTTTTTTTATTTTATTTATTTTATTGTCTTACTATTTTAGTGATTTCTTTTAAATATTTTTGTCTTGTTTTTTATGCGAAGTGCTAATTCTGAGACTTTGCAATTTGATCCAGAGATAGAAAGAACAGCTCGTGCGAACAGAAAAGAAGAAAAACTAAGAAAAGAAAAGAATCAGAGTGAAACCATGGGCGACAGAGTAAACACTCGGACACTGAGGGATTACTTTACACCTACGAAGAATGTTGCTAGGTCAAGTATTACTAGGCCTAGCATTGCTGTGAATACCTTTGAGCTCAAGCCAGCATTGATCCAGATGGTGCAGCAGAATCAATTCTCCGGTTTTAACAATGAGGATCCAAATGCGCATATTGACAACTTTTTAGAGATCTGTGATACTGTTAAGATAAATGGTGTGACATCAGATGCAATCCGGCTGAGACTTTTCCCTTTTTTATTGAGGGGAGAAGCGAAGAATTGGTTGAATACTTGCGATCCTGGTTCCATCACAACTTGGGATGAGCTTCACAAGGAATTCCTGATCAATTTCTTCCCACCACATAAGGCAGCGAAATTGAGAAATCAAATTACTAGGTTTATTCAAGAAGATGATGAGACATTTCATGCTGCATGGACAAGATTCAAGGAATTGCAAAGAAGATATCCTCACCATGGTATTGAGAAAAGTACTCTAGTTCAGACTTTCTATCAAGGATTGACAGACTTTGCAAGAAACAATGTGGATGCTGCAGCTGGAGGTTCATTAATGGATAAGTCAATTGATGATGCCTATGAATTGTTTCAAACTATGGCAAAGAATAGGAATCAATGGTCGAACTCGAGAAGTGTTTCCAAGAAGCCTGCTGGAATGTATGAAGTCAATGAACTAAGTGCCATGAACGCAAAGATAGATGCACTGACCAAGGCGATGGTTAATCTTGTAAATGCTAATGCAGTCTTCAATGCCACTGTCTATGAGTTCTGTGGAGGTCCTCATTTGAGTTCTGAATGTATGCAACTGGCAAGTGCACAATACGTCTCTAACTTCAGCAAGCCTCAGCAGCAGAACAATCCTTACTCCAACACATACAATCTTGGGTGGCGAAATCATCCAAACTTTTCTTGGAATAATCAAGGGGCTCAAGACTTTAATGCAAGACCTCAAAACCCTCCTGGTTTCCAAGCAAAGTCATACCAATCCGCGCCTAAGACAGCTACGGAGGAAAGTTTGGAGAGAATGGAGAAATTGTTGAGTGAAAACACTAAACGGTTTAACAGAATAGAAGCAAGGTTAGATCAATTGACTACTGCTCATAGAACCTTGAAGTTGCAAGTGAGTCAAATGGCCTCCGCCATGAATACTCGTGGGCAAGGTCAACTGCCAAGCAAGTCTGAAATCAACCCTCGTGAAAATTGTAGTGCTATCATGTTGAGAAGTGGGAAGCAGTTGGGTCACAAGAAGGAACCAAAGACCACTGAAGTGAATGTGACCATTGATGAGAAGAAAGTAGAGAGTAAGCAGATTAATAAAGAAAAAGTGGAGAAAGTGGAACAAGAGGAAGAAAAGATATATGTGCCACCACCGCTTAAACCTTATGTTCCACCAGTGCCTTTTCCGCAGAGACTCCATATGACCAAGCAATCGAAGAAAAGTGAAAGACTTTGAGACAATTGCACTATCTGAGGAGTGTAGTGCTATCATTCAGAGAAAGTTGCCTCCAAAATTGAGTGATCCAGGGAGTTTCTCTATTCCTATCTCTATGGGTAATGTTTGTTTTGATAAAGCTTTATGTGATTTAGGTGCTAGTGTTTCATTGATGCCTTTATCTGTTTGTAGAAAGCTTGGGTTGAAACATTTGAAACCAACTAACATCACTTTGTAGTTAGCTGATAGATCCATAACTCATCCGAAAGGAATTTTGGAAAATGTGCTGGTAAAAGTGAAGAAATTTTGTATCCCTGTTGATTTTGTTGTGTTAGATATGGAAGAAGATGCTAATGTGCCAATTATTTTAGGTCGACCATTTCTAGCCACAGCTGGTGCTGTTATAGATGTTAAAAAGGGGAGTTTAAAATTTCATATTGGAGAAGAATCAGTGGAGTTCATTTTTTCTGAAAATTACAAATGTCCTGCATTTACTCATCATGTGTTTAGGATAGATATTTATGAGGAGCCAGATAAAAATGATGTGTTTATTGCTAATTTTAATGATCCTCCTGACAAGTGTATCAGTGATGTAGGCACAGATAGAAATGGAAGAAGAATGATGTATAAAAGAGTTTCACACTCTTTGATTGAGCGTCCACCTGATTGATTAGCCATAAAGTCCGGCTCATGACTTTAAAGAAGCGCTTATTGGGAGGCAACCCAAGTCTTTATTTTGCTTTATTTTTCTTTTTCTTTCATTAATAAGTTGATGGTTAAGTTTTTTTGTTCCTGATGGTTAAGTTTTTGTTCATTAATATTGTTTAATGTTTAATTCCGTATGTAATGGTAAATAGTTACGTTTTTTGTATGACACATAATGAAAAAAGAAAACCATTAATGCAGATTGTTTGAAAAATTTCCGTTTTTTTTATCTTACCAAATACAAAATAGAAAGTTTACCACATAATTAATTAATATACTTTAATTGCGAATTGATAACACTTGATTAACTGAAAATTCAAAGGACTGTTTGTATAATTGTTATAAATATTTTTTATGTCAACCTTTAGGAAAATAATACTTAGGATTTTGTCCTATGTGACAACGTGAGAAGAAATTTGATTTTCTCTATCTTATTTCTCTCTTAGTATTATACTATAGATAGATAGGATTAGAAGTTTAGAACTGGAAAGAGAAGATTTTGGTTTCTGTTTCTAAAACTGGAATAAAAATTTGTATAGTATTCTGTAACGGTTGTGGATAAAAACAGTGTTTGTGAGGAAGATGATGATTCTGGTTCAGTGATTTCTCTGGTGCAGTGGTTTTGGTTGGGGCAGTAGTTAAAAAAGGCAGAGGAAAAAGTGATGACCAATTAAGGATATCATCCAAAAAATATGCATAATTTGCTCTGGTTAATTTTTGTGTTGACAATATCGTTGACCTAATTAAAAATATTGGAATTCTACAAAAATTTGAAATCGAAATAAAAATAAGGTGATTATCATTAATACATGTTATTAAAAGTGAATAAAAATAAGAGTAAAATTAAAAAATCTATATTCAATGCTGCATTGAAAATTAAGAGCGACAACTAAAAAAAAAAATTTAGATTTACCCTAATCCAACATATTAACTTAAAAAAACGGGGGTAGTACAATTTAGCAACATACAGAGCTGATGCAAATTAAAGAGGAATCTCACACAAACAACGACGAGCAAAAAATGAGCTCAGCAGACCTCTCGATGTTGTTACGCAATAGTTGTATCTTTCATAAAGGAATACTAGATGCTTGGCCCGGGCATCTCTACTTTAATTTTATGTTAATAGATAAATGAATTCTTATTTGGAAAAAATAACATAGCTACATATTTGGTTTTTTTTTTCCTTTTTTAGCAAAAAATAAAAATAAAAATAAAAAAATCAGCTGCCAAAGGAGAAAAAATATTAAAAAGTACAACGATGCAGAAATTATACAAAAGAATGTGGAGTAATAAAGGGAATAAGTTTATGGACAAATTTAAATACTGTTTTAATTTGATTGATAAATGATAAATATTAGGAGTTAAGATTGTGTAACTATTTTTGTAAAGTAGCTTTTGTTTTTCTGGATAAGAATTTTTTATTTTTTTTAAAAAAGGAATGACACGTGGCAGAATGGTTAATGCAATATGATGTATTTGGAGGCAAAAATTTTTAATAAAAAGTTGCCATATCAACATCCTGTATTCTGCTTTAATAAGGTAAAAAGGATATACATATCTTATTTAGGCATCAAGTGCAAATTTGCACCAAAATACAGAAAAGCTTTCATAATATTGATATTAAAATACAAAAAAGAAACAAAAATGATACATTGAAATTATTGATCCTGTAGCTCCATGATATACAGGCAAAGCGGTATCACCTTCCTTTAAAGTAAACAAAAATACAGCCATTCTAAAATGGAGTGCAGCTTTTGCTATCAATCAGCGTTTCACTCGAAAAGGAAACCAAATTTAAGAATCTTGGGGAGTCTCAAATCTGGTGGGAGTATCGATTCCCGCCATACAACAAAGGCCTGATATCAAGATTATGAGCAAAACGATAGCCTGCAAAATTGCAGAAAGTTGTTTGTTATTTATAAGAGACCATAAAACTCAAGAAATAGGTAGCACATCTGCAATCAAACAGAAGAAATAGTTTGTTGAACGAAAACCGCGGCCAAACTCACCACAAAGAGCCCCTCCAATAGCGATGACTTGATTTGGCAAACTCCATCACAGGTTGAGTTGGTAGATACATTGGTTTCCGCAAGAAATCTTTTTACATGCTCGAACGAATGGTGATTAACAGAGACACTTGGATCAGACACATATAGAACTGAATACTTAGCATCCAAGCGTTCCACAGAGCCAATGACCTCAGATAAAAGTTGGGCTGCAAGCGCAATCAAATATTACATCAGTTTTGAGAGCTAAATGGCCAATCATTAGAGACATGGTTTTACATAAGGTCTGCATGAATTAGTTTAATGAACAGACCCTTTCTTAGAGACCCTGCACTGGGTTGGCCATCTTTAAAGATATTCTATTGAGAAAAGGTGCCTTACTATCTTTTCCTATGATTTGTACCTTCAGAAGCTGGCAGATCAGATTCTGACTGGGAGCCTCCATTACAGATAACGATTAGATTCCCTGGTCCAGTGGTCTTTTTCTCCATCTTTTTAGCAAGGTAATCCTGTTAATATCCACAAAGCAAACTCATGATACGCTTTAACCCGAAGAATGCACAAGTTCAAAGCAAAATACATTTCATCTCCATTTACCCGAACTGCAGGCACATCTGCAAGAGTTTGAAACCTATCACCATTTAAAGAGCACGATTGCATGACAGCGACGTCATTGATACCTAAATTGTTACCACAGCCATTCTCAAACTCTGAGACCAAAGAGGTTTCAATTGCGTTCTTCTCCCCTGATGCTGCGACATACGGAAAGGCCAAAGAAAATTTGGAGTTCCAAACAGAAGCCTGCTCATGAGGATGAAATGGCAATTGCAAGCGTAAATTTGGCAGCTGTATACCAGACTAATATTTGTTTGATATTGAGACAAGGAATACCTTGAGCAGATCAACAAGAGAAGGGTCAGCCAACTTTTTGTTTGTAGAGATGTCAGCAGTTTGTAGCTACAAAGTATTGAGGAGTCCAGTGGTTAAGATTGGAAGGAAGAATACTCATATATTTGAGTTCTAATCCAGTTGAAGCTAAGAAATGAATGTCAAGAATCCAGATCAGGAGTCAAACAGTAATTTTGACTCCCTATAAAACATGCTCATTTTCATTGTCTTATGAATGTTACTTATTAATTAGTCAAAAAACAACTTTAATCCATTCAGGAAAAAATTGATGTCCGAGGGGAAAAAGTTTCTACCTGCATTATGCTTTAAGTTACAAAATGATGTCTACAACCTAACCTTTCTTACAACTTCCAAACTGTCATTTCCCAAACATCAAAGAAACCCAAAATAAATCCAGAAATTTCAATGAGGGAACTCATATATACAAAAAAATGAAAAGTGAAATGTTCGTTCAATCTCCAACAAGAATTACCTCTTTCCCAACAAAAAGAAGAGCAAAATCCAAAGTTTCCTGGGTTTGCTTTCCTGAGCACTGACCAAAATAAACCAGTAAAAGGAAAATGTAAACATCCTCATTATTGAATCAGGTAATAATAAGACCAGGAAATAAATCAGTCTAACTACAGAAGCTAAAGAGTACCACACACCAATAAGCTTGACCAACCACCTTCAGACATCACCGATTTAGCCAAATCCTTTGACTGGAGGGTTCTGTAGTCAACAACTTCTGCCTCACTGTTGCTCACACTGTATCACACAGAAAATCACAATCAGAATCAAACTACAACCCGCTGTATGCAAAACCATGAACCATTATAAACACACATTATCACAAGCAGAAAACAGAGTAGTAGACTTGTATTACAGAATAAGAGACTATTTCACATGTTTTAGACCATTGAGAGAATGAAAAAAAATGATTACTTTATATAGATACACATGCAAAACCTTTATCAAAGACATAGGTTGAAATTCCCTTAAACAATCTAGCTCAACAAATGTACACGAGCAAGAGAAAATTTGTCTACACTTGAGAAAACCCTGGCCTCTCTTTTTGGATTTTTTTTTAGAGGTAAAGCCCATTTAATACAGCTTTCTGTTCTTAAGGCTTAACTTGGTACAATAGACTTTCCTTTCTTTTCCGTAGATATTAGCTCATAAGCTCAAAATCCATAAACTTCATCATAAACAATTTGACCGTAGCTTTGTTTTGTTAAGATCGAACAAGTGTTACATTTATTACGTGAAACTATTACAGAAAAAGCATATCCACAAAAATGTTCTTTATTAAAAAAAAAAAAACAAACAAACAAACATGGCTTATTAAATAACTAAAGTGCATCGTATTGGACCTTTCTTCTCCAGTAAAAAGCCCTGATGTGGGCTAAAAAGAACACGGAAAGCCCCATGGTCATGGATTTCTTGTCATGACCATCTTTCATGAGGATATAACGAAGAAAGCAAATGTCGAGTGCCTAAGTTAAATTCTTAACCAAGTCTAAGACATGGGAACTTAAGCTATATTTAGTGTTTTTGGAACTTAAGCTATATTTAGTCTAAGACACGGGAACTTAAGCTATATTTAGTGTTCTTAACCAGTCAAAAACTCTTCATTAAAATTGCTCCTCTCCATGAATTCTGAAATTATAAATTTCCTATTCAGAGTCTTTATTTTTCAGGTTTGTTTAGGAAAGTGTAATCGTTTTGTATCTTCACAAAGGGTATAAATAATCTACCCCGTTCAGAGGAGATTAAGCAGCTTTCAATAGAACAGAAGTCCTTGTGACCTTTCCAAGCATGTAACTAAACAGATTTTAGGGGGCGTATAGTAAAGGGTCGAATGCATAGTTAATGACATTGATTTCGATTCTAAATGTTTGGTGGGTCTCCATGAGAATAATTTTAACTAAATCATTGCCCCAGACTTAGCAATACACCATTAACCCCTCCACAAAAGTTATCGGATTCTGGGTCATACTCTAATCAACTTTTCTTCTCTATGCAAAAACATACCCTCATCCCATTTCCCTCCCTCCCTGCCTACTGAAGTTTTCTTCTCTACTAAAGTTCTCTTCCTTTGGTTCATGCTTGTGCTGCATCAAGCTAAATACCCTTCACAATCTATTCAAAATGGAAGGAAACTGCTAGAATCACATCCATCAGCCTAAAAGCCAAACCTCAGATTTCAAGAAAAATCCGTTAACTTCAATGTAACACTTAATGAGCATTCATCCTCGTTATCACAGATCTACAGCCCAAGATAACATGGTAAAACAAGTTTTTAAGATTGAGATCCTCTTTAAAGGAATAGAACACAGCAATTCATCCCTGTTATCATTCAGAAGCTTTGAAGAAATTTTCTTGAATTTGTTCTGAAAGATATTAATGTTACTTCCGTTACAAATGTATTGTTGGCCAGCAATTTTATCTTAAGGCCGTACAGCCTTCCCATCAAAATTTGTAGAATAATCATAATTTACTAAGTTGCAAACAACACAACATACAGGTTTTGCAAAGAAAACATGTCTAAAAGAAAAGAATGGTTTCTCCAGCAACTTATGCTCATTGAGCTCATCAAACACATTGAATTGCACACCTACTGTAACAAAAAAGTCCTTGTTGACATGCTTATGAAGAACTGGTTTGCTAAAACCACGCAAGAGGAGATTTTCACATGATCAACAGTTCACAATGCGTCAATATAAATGGGAAATCATAAGGAAAGGAGACAATACCCGTCTTGATGGGGTGACCATAGGAAGGCAGGGGCTGTGGGAGAAGTAAGGGCCAACGCAAGCTGAGAAACAACCAGCATCCCCATCACTAACGCCAGCACCATCTTCATCTTTCCCTAATTTAACACCGGAAACAATTCAAGTTCAACCCAGAAAAGCATACAGATCCGCAGTCAGACAAGCAAATATCTACTCCGACCGCACTAAAAACACAAACGGGGCAGAAATATGCAAAGATCCACATGAATAAATTATTTTCAGCACATTAAGCTGGGAAAAAGCGGAAGTAAAACACATAAACCCGAACGAACTCAATCCGAATCCGATCACATCAATCTTATACGAAACAGTAGTTCGAAGACAACATAACAAAAACAATCCTAACGACAGTAGCAAATTGAAAGGGAGACTATGTGAATTGCAATTGAATAATGAACGGGAACAGAAAACCCTAAGAAGCTAAATTGATTTGGGAAGTGAGATCAGCTAATTGATTTCCACGTGCACAACTTAGTCCAATTGAGCACAGAAGTAGATGTTTACCTTTGACTGGGCTCTATTGAAAAACTCCGGCGTCCGGAAATCGTCCCGCGAGGTATTGGATCTGCCGGTACGGTGAAGAAGAAGGAGGAATGGATGATATTTTAAGCGGGTTATTGCGGGTAATAGAGAGAGGGAGAAACGACGAACAAGAAACAAAGAAGAAGATTCACCCGAAAAAAGGACGGAACGTGATGGAGAGTAAACGATAAAATTCGAAATCTTCTTTTACAGCGAAGGGAGCTGTAATTATCGTTGCTTGGTTGGTTTCTTACTTTGTTTCGTGCATTATTCTAATTTATTACCGTACAAACAAATGGAAAAAAAAATAAAAAATATCTAATTATGTACTTCTTTTGTCCCAAAAAAAAAATTAATGATTCACATTCAGTTTAAAAATTTATTTATTTTTTACTACATATTTCAAAACTGAAAGTGAACTTTTTTTTGTTAGAACAAAGTGTATGTATATATTTTTTAAAATACAGTAGAACTTCTATAAATTAATACTTTTAGGACAATCAAAATTAATTAATTTAGAAAATTATTAAATAATTGATAAATTAATAATAATTTGTATGAGGAAAAAAGAACTCCCACTAACTTACTTAATTGCATTTAGGTCCAAATTAATCAAATATTAAAATTCTTCTGAATATGAAAGATCCATGCATAGTTCATATTATCTTCAAAGACTAAAAAACAAGTATCAATAGTTCAAATTTTACTACATATTTATTGTTATTATTATTATTATTTTTTTGTATTTATGGTATTTATTAATTTATGATATTTTTGGGACCTATAGATATATAAGGAATTTTCTGGAACACTATTATTTTATCATTTTATTGATTTTTTTTTTCACTTTTTGTACTGGTCCCAAGTTGGGACCGGAGAAAATTATTAATTTCTAGAAGTTATTAATTTATAGATTATTAATTTACCGACGTTATACTCTATTTTTTCTCTTTCTTTTTGTTGATATTGTCTATTTTGAATTTGACAAAAATTCAAAATTGAAGTGGACTATTTTGCTTTTTGATTTTGTCAATTTTGAATATGGCAAAAGCTAGAATAGAAACATAACACTACTTCGAAAATGATAAAAATACAGTATTGTAGAGTAGACAAGTTCCATTCGAGTAAATACTCTTAATGAAAAAAGTTGACACGACATAGTTGAATAGTTCATTAAATTGTCTCCTGAAGAGGACTTATAATTTTGACTCTAAAAGAGTAAATAAAATATGCCATGAGCAAATAAAATTTCGCGCCAATACCAAAAGAATTCCGAAAAAAATTTTGAATTTCAGAAGTACTATCATATACTTGTACATTAGGAATACAATTTCCAGAAGAAAATTGTCTTAACCTTTGTATTTTTTTTGTGTTAAATATTATACATATATTACTATCATTAGATTTTATAGTAAACCGGAAGTCTACTAGGGAACTAGAAATTCACTTCTCGTAGCAACAAGTCAAACTAGAAGTTTATTGATTACAATAAATTTATACATTTGACATAATTAAGTTCATGTGTTTTAAATTTGAAGAACCATGAGTTTCTTCCAAGAAATTAACGGATGTGGTAATGAGATAGCCACTATGCTTATTATTAACTTACAAAGTTGAAGTTTGTGAATTTTTTACAAAGTTAGTTTAGTTAAGTGTGTATTTACATATGCTTCTATCATTAGAATTAAATACCAGAATAAATATGAGACGGTCCTACGGAATCGTTCAGGTAAATGTGTTCAAATAATTAAAATCATTACGTAAGAGAAGTAAATACCTCATATGCAATTAAGGATATGTTGAAACACTAAAGGCATCAATCATATACATAAGGCCAAATGGGTCTTTATAGATATTCTCTCAAACATGGGTTTTCGGTCAAAAATAATATCTATCCATCTTCAAATTTTAGATGTGCAGCTCATATAATTGTTCCACCACCATGCACAAAAAGACGGAGACCCTGAAAGCAGTTAAGAATATATGTTGGATTTTGAACCTCCAATTTTTGGAGTTATTGATGTTAGTTTTACTATTCGATTGGTTTATTGTCTATTTGACGAGTTAGTTATTTCAAAAGGAGATCTATTTACTACTTGATTGGCTGATCATTACTTTGAGAATTAGTTAGCCCAACATCAAGGGGAGAGGTTAAAACAACCAATTCATAAGTCAAATGGACTATATCATTATCTCATGATGATCCTCGATAGTATGAACATGAAGTTCAAGAGATAATGTTTAAGACTAGATATATGACCAGAATGTGTACATGCAAAGGCTATCAATGTTTAAAAAGGCTATTAATGTTTAAATTTTGATGTTACATCGCCGAAGGACTATCAACCACTATTTTATTATTTGAATGTCAATTTGATAATGGTAGAACCATCCTTTCCAGCAACAAGAATCCTCGTAAATGAGAACTTTAGATATATTGAGATGCCAAATAAGAGTAATAAATAAACTTCCGGAAGAAGAATATAGGTATATTTGGAAATTTAATGATGATGTGATCTCATTATCATAGGAAGATGGAATCGATCGGTAATAAAGCATTGACGTGAAATTTACTTATGCAGCAGGAGTTAGTAAAATGAATGAAAATGAGGATCATGAAATGAAATTGTGTTGTGAGTGGAGACGTTAAACTTATTGTCCATAATAAATGAAAAGACACAATACACACACCAGAAGATGTGTAAGTAAAATTGAAACTCCTTGAAAAACTATAAATTTTGACAAGTAATATGCAGGTTAAATGTTGTTGGGCGATTGTGCAAAACATTAACAAGCAACCACCTCGTTGCACAAGTTTTTCCAAAATCTGGATGTTCATCTTGAGTCGTAACACAAATAGCAGACCACATTTTATGAGCGAGGATACGAGTGAGCTAGATACGAGTCGATCCTGCCTAGATGGCTTGTGGAGCGAACCTCTAACCAGAATCGAACCTTATAATGATGTCATAGAAGAAAGGTAGAGAGTGTCCATTGGCAACCAAAGAGTTTAATCTACGAAACCTGCACCAAGAAGCTCAGCAACGTGGGGGCTAGTAACTAGAACTGGATTAGGATTATTAACTAGTGTTTAACTTATTTCAAGTGTAACACCTTATGGATGCTACCATACTTGACTTCATGAATGCATATACATGTTTTTTATACCTTGTTTGGATTGGTACTATATGATTACGTGGTTGTTGATGTGAGATGCTTCCATTGGCTTGTTAAATGATGATTGTATTAGATGCTAAAGTGTACTACTTGTCCCTGGATACCTTGTCCATCTGATATCCATGTAACAGTAGAAGGTTAAATGTTAACTTGTAATTAAAAAAAAAAAAGAGTGCACTCTCAAATAATAGGAAGCACGATAAGTGAGAGCATTAGAATAAAATTTGGAATGTGTTAGGTACTTAGTTACAGTTTGGGTTGTAAATATAGAACTCTTAATAAAACACACCTTAGTTTTAGTTCTACCTTGTAGATGGATAGTTACATGGAAGAGAGTGATGCGCAAAAAGATCAAGTAGACCTGCAATACTGGTGTAACAGACTTCAGCAGCAAGAGACGTAAATACAAAATCTACTCGAGAAAACCTTTTAAAAATGCGAGAGAGTTATACTTGATTGCTGCAAATAGTTGATGATCAGCTCATGAACATTTCCGAGACAAGTACTAGAGACGCTGAGCAGAAGAAGTGTAAGCTTCCTTCAAGCTAGCGGTCGTGTATAAGCACAAGGACCTAAAGGAGTTTGGGGTAAACATGATAACACCGTAGTCTGCGATTATTGCAAGAAAGAAGGGCATTGAATTAAAGATTGCTCGAAGAAAATTTTACGATGTTTCAGTTGTGGGACTGCCAAGCATACCATCATGGACTGTCCAAGATCGTATGCTTTCTCAGCCAAGAAAGCTTGCAAGTAGTATAGTGTCGAAAAATTCTCAATTGAAATAAGCTACCATAGGCAACTCATGTAAATAGCTATAAAAAGTCGGTTCAGGACTTTTGAAACCTTAGTGCAGCCACTCTGGTTTTGTAGATAGAGTACCTGCATATCATGCACGTAGCTACCCTTGCAAAGTACCTAGATGTTTTATCCTTCCCAAATTCAACTTGCAATCCTCCCTATTAATTATTTTGCTTTGTTCCTTTACCACCCATTTCTTTGATGCCATATTTTTATAATTCTTATTTTTGTCTATACACCTATTGCTCCACCACTCACCATTTTCACAATGGTTTGTTTTTCTATGAAACGTCTCATCTAGTTTGCCCTTCACAAAATTCACCCATGAATCTCAACTTAAATATTCATACTCTTTTTTGTCTCTTATCAATTCTTTAATAATTTAAAAATAATGCTTAAATCTATTATCCCCTTCTTAATTTCGGTTGCTGGACTCCCCATTGTTTAATTCGTCATCATCTTCAATGATTCTTTATTCTAATATGGAAGTACCTTAGCCCATTTACCTTCTACAAAAATTTCTCATCATAACCAATCCAGATATCCATTTCATTTCGTTGTTAGACACTTGTGGTACACACTTTCTGTTATCATCTTTAACTCTAAAAGGAAAAGTACGACCTCCTTGCACATACCTTTGTCAATCCTAATTATAGAAATCCTTTTCATTCTTGGTTAACTACCATTCATTCCCTTAACATTGCCCCTACTTTTGAGCTGATGGAATTTACTGATTTCTTTTGGGAAGGTTCGATATAGCAAGATACTTGTTTAGTACACTTAGGCAACTCCAATAATCAAAAAAGAAAAACATACTTGCCTTTGAGATATTTTGGAGGTTTGCTTAGTTTCAGCTTGTCAAAGTTGCAATAGGATATAACTCTGCTCAAACAGAAAGTTGAGAAGTAGAATATTTTCGCTTTAGAATCCCAGAATAAATGCATATTTCAGCCAAGCACAAGAACGGTACGGGGAGGAGTTCCCCAAACTAACGTTAAGCACAGCTAGATCTTCATGCCAAGAATAAAAGTCGTCTCTATCCATTTCATCTGCCATAAGGAATTTGTTCGAGATTATCTTAGAAATACTTATAATCACCACAGGACCATACCAGTTCATTTGGAAACCTTAGAAATCACTTCAAATTGCTGGACATTTAGGAAAAACAAAAAATAATAAAAAAAATAAAATACAATAAAAGGATCAAGTTGCAATCTAGCCTTTCTTTTCCAAAGGTGAGCTGTTAGTGTAGAGATTAATGGAC